AGCCAGTCCCTTTTCTGTGGGGACTGGCAGGATTGTTGTCTTGAAGGTGGTGTACATGGTGCTTCATTGTGGGTGTGTATTTCAAGAGGGAGACCCCCTGGCCCATTCGGTGTTGGTTTCTGTTCCTTTCTTCCAGGGGGTCGGAACGCCATGCCATTCTTGGAATTCGATCACCATTTATATATAGATCACCTATGACTCTGTCTCGCACTTCAATTTGATGTTTTGCATTTGTTTTGGAAGTATGCGGCAACCACAGATTGCTCTGATTCATGCACATCAGCGCATTGCATCATACTGTGTCTGGGTCATTGCCCACTGTCTCTGTACTGTAGAGAAGCATACGGACGTCCCTACCGACATACCCGCACTTTCAAGTGCAAGGGGTGAGCAGCCTGCGGATGTGAGTGCGAGATCGTCCCAACCCCAGATCCGTGTGTTCGTGGCCTGTCTGCATGCGGATCTGTCCATTCGAAGGGTACAAGTGTGCCACATCGATTCGCTGCGAAGACATGGAGCAAATAGAAGAAAAGGACCTGCTGAAATGATGTCCATCCATTAAACGGTGAACCATGACATATTTTAACACTTTTTTTCCAAGTACAGTACATATAGGACATTGTAGGACTATAGGATCCAACATAAAAAAAGTTCAGCTTCGCCCCCCAAACCAAACCCAGGAATTGATGTCCTGGCAAAAAGGACTCCCAAAAAGCCTCCACCTCCGCAAGTCACGTTCGACGGGGTGCACGAACAAACGGAGGTCGTCGGGCTGCCCCGTCGTCACATCCACAGCCACTGGATGGGACGAGCCACACCACCCCGACATGTGACCCCTGGCTACTCCACCTGCAGTCCTTCTTTGCCTTCGTCTAGTCTCAGACCGAGTCTCCGAGCGACGTCTAGACCACCCGAGTGGCTTTCCACGAAGGCGTCGGTGGTCTTCTGGGGATCCTGGACGACGAAGCACCGGAGGCGGCGCGAGGAGCATCGCGGTTTGTTCGACAAGTTCAGGACGTCGAACTCGACGTCTTATCCCCGAGTTAGATGCGGATTCTGATCAGGTCTCCCCCATGCCTTCCAACAGATTCATTCCTATATATATCGAAATCGAAATATCTCGAATTGTTGTTTTTCGTGTTTCTTTGGACTTGGCTCTTTACTCAAATGCCATATTGTATCCATCATGGGATTCCTGGAGTCCATCCCTCGCATTCCCGCTTCTCCCCGCTGGTCGGGCCTCGAGGGTCCGGAAGAGATGTTCCAATCCCAGGCGCGCCGCAAAGACCAGGTCCTCGCGGCGCGGGCGAACGCGAGGACCGGTGGACAGCACCGGTTTGGCGCGGGCGAACGGGGCGTGGGGTGTGTAGAAGCGTTTGTGTGTGTGTGTGTGGGTGGGTGTCTATGGACCGGTATGGGTCCCCGGCACCGGCGGCACCGGCGGTGAACAGGTGGGCTGATTGAATAAAGCAGCGGGAAGAAGGGTCTGCATTCTGCATGACACATGTCTCAAAACACAGGGAACAAAGGCCTGTTCTTTCTTTTGATGTCTTTCTTCCAAATTGACCCACCCCAATAGATAAGCCGAAAACAAGTGGAGGAGCCAAATGAAGAACTGGACTCCTTCGTCTTGGCTTTCCAGCATCCTTTGAGAGACGCATCCAGAAACAACACACATACCATCAGCACCTGTGGACTGGCATTCCGACGAAACACGGCCCGTTGATGTGTGTCCCTAGGGCTCCAGTCGTACCTCCTCAGAAGGTGTTTGGAGCCCTATAGGGTGTGTGTGTGTGTTTTCGTTTCGCGGCGAGGATTTACCTTGGATTGGCTTCAGGAACTGGGATTCACCCCATAGGGAAACAAACAATTAACACTCTATAAGCGAAACCAGGCGTGACATGTACCCGGAACCTATCTCGTTCGATTTCTCCTTGAACTGCTGCAAGATGTTGGGAGACGGTTCCGCTCGTGCCTTCGTGAACCTGAAGGGTTCTGCGGCGGTGCGTTCTTCGTGCCGGCCGGAAAAGATGTGATGCCACTGATGAAACATATCGAACGGACAAGAAGAACATCTACAGTATATAGATTTACAGTAGCTGATTCTATCTGTTTTGTTTCTTTAGAAAAAGTGATGGTAACTAATTGGATCCATTTGGAATAGTCTGCTTGTTGACTTGTTGGGTGCTGAGCTTAGTCATGGTTGTGTTGAAACACATAAAGGGAGGCAAAAGTAGCCATCAAACATTCTTCACGCCAAAGGAAGCGTTGCTTTTATCCCCTTGTTTCCGGACTTCCAGGAGAGGTCCCATGGGGCCCACTACTGAAGGACCTCCTTGCAGGACACCCCCCTTTTTGGAAGGTCCATGTATGCTTCGCCCTGCAACCCTCAGTGGTACGCTGTGACCCTCCAGCGGTGTGATTTCGGAGGTCCGCCGCCAAAGCCCGCCGTCTCAGCCGTCTCATATTTGTTAGCAGAAAACACTCTGAAGAACTCATCATCCATCTAAAGGTCGTCTTGCGCCATCACGTTTAATTCCAGGAATCTCAGCTTTCAGAGATTTAAGAGTATAGATGCTAAGAGGCCCAGTTGGGTCTTGCAGGCTCTGTGTGGCTCGAAATGATCTGTGTGATTTTGGGTCGACCCAGGTGTCTGCGCAGTGGATGCCCTGGATGCTGCGGCAGCCAGGACTTCCTCCCCCCGCTGCCAAGGAGCCGTTCTTGAAGGTCCTATGGCGCGTTCGGCGTGCGACGTTTGGCGAAAACCCTCCAAAAACCCCCAGTCACTCGGTGAGCTCATATTGCCCTGCCAAGTCCTCATGTGGACGACAGTAAGTCGAATTGGTATATAACAGGAACATACAGGAACCATCAGAAAGCAATTCCATAACAATGCTTAACAGCATATATACTATACATGCATCTGAACATTGTATATATTCATAGATGAACACCGTGTTCATATATATACATCTATATACCCGGTGTTCAATACTTTACACAATATGAACACCGGGTCGTTTGGAGGGGCTCTCCAGCAATATGCACACGCAAATAGCACACACAGCACGAGTAGGACACCTCCTAAAACTTTGTCTGTATGGTTCAGGTAGCATAGACCTCTTTTTTGCCCTTCGCACATATTTGTAGACATCAACCAGAGAACACCCCTTCCGCAGCTTGCATGTTATGAACCCGCACGACACGGTTTGGACAAACAACCATTCGCAACGAAAACCTCATCTGTGCCAAATCATGGTGTGTCTTCACCAGTCCTCAGAAGTCAGCCACCCTGGCTGAACAACCCACTCCTCCCTCCGAGCTCCCAGCTCCAGCTCCTGATGATCTGGTGCCAGTTGCAAGCCCTGATGAAAGCTCTGCGCAGCGTCGATCAGTCGTCCCAAAGCGAGTTCGGCTTTGCCCTTCCTTGGCGCGATTTTCGCGGGCTCAACGGCTCGGTGCGCACGGTGGAGCAGACCAGTGCGGGTCTGCTCGGTGCTCCGATCCAGAAGCTATAGAGTGACGCATGCCATGCATTGTCAGTTGCATGGTTGGGTCAACTTCTTGTCAGTGCCTTGGAAATTTCAGCGCTGCAATGGTTTTTGTGTTCTTGGAACATTGCCAGGACTAGCATCTATATTTTCTACATTGCCTCGTCCAGTCAACGAACATAGAAGAGGAGGTATGGTATCATGAAGTATCTATATTGAAACAATGGCTGTGACATGAGCTTTTATGAGCTGCTTCTAAATGATCAGAACAGTCTCATTCCTAGAAACAACAAAAAGGAAAGTTATAACAGAAGAGCTTAGATTGTCCAACCAAGTACAACAACTGCCTTTAGACAACCTCATACCACCTTGTCTTCAATCTTATTCAACTTTGGTCAGGATCAACCTTGTTTTCTCCGCAAAAGCACGATTCCTCGTAGTATTTTCGTAGTACAGTAGACGACTCCTTGTCGTCCCAAATCCACCGCGAACCCAGCGAAGGAGCCCTCCAGTTCCTACCAAGCTGCTCAAGCCATCCCTCTGCACCTGTGCTGCACGACTGAGAACATCAGTGATGTTCATCATGTCAATAGTAATCCCAAAAGATCGAACAGTAGAAACATCATGAATAGCTGCAATAGGCATCAATAGGCTGAGTATATATATATATGTTCCACATGTTCAATCACGACCTCCTTTTCACAGGCCACTCTGGGCTGATCCAAACACCAGGGACTGAGTGTCAAAACGCGGCAGCCTGCCCCTCATATTGGCCCACCATGTCCGCAGCGATTGATTTTTGTGGGACTTCGTAGCACTCAAAAGAATATGAAGAACATCACAAATGACGTCTAAACGATCAAAACTCCCACGATGAACAGCTTTTGTTGTGCCTAATGTCGAATGCCAATTAGTAAAGTGGGAGGGAATAAAAACAAGTTTTCACAACATTATCCCCACACCCTGAATAGTTTAGTGGATGGGAATAAATAGGAAAAATGAATTCGCACAGGTGTTTGTTTAAAGGCCTGTTTTGCCAATTGATTTAACTTAAACTTAACCATCTCGCAGCAGCAGAAGCAGCAGCACCACCACCTAAAATCTTTTTCAACAACCCTCATATTAAAACTTATCGAACTATCAGAATCATTGCAAGCCCAGGGGAAGTGATTGTTTGGGGGGTGGGAATCATGCGCCAACTCGGAGCCCTGGGAAGAATATCTACCTCTGCTGCCTTTTGGTCTGTTGTGCTGCGCTCATGCGAGTACGTGGTCCAAAATCACAGGACAAAGAAGGTGATCCAAGAAGGAATGGTGGGAAAGAAGATGAACAAGGGCCCCTAATTGATCGGTACCCGGTTTTCCGGCGGCAGGCGGGTTTTCCAATGCGTGACCATGGGCTGACCATACATGTTGATTGGACATGATCGGACGGCTTCGCACGGTTCCATCGATTCGGCTGCTTCGGGTTCCATGACGGTTCCGACGGATCGACCCGGGATCACACCGGAGAAAATCAAGCGAGACCTTTTTTGGGGTGGACTGGGTAGTTATGATCTATAAGATATATAAGTCTGCCGAAACAGCCTTGTTCTTAATCACCAAAAGACAACACGTTGTTCTTGATGTGACTTTTGCTCCACTAAGTGTCTGTGGATGTCTGTGGAACACAACATTAAGATCTGTGGAACACTTAAGCGATCTATTTTCTCCACTGATTTCCGTTCCACAGATCGACCTTGGTGTGTGTGTGTGTGTCTTCCCCAGTCGTGCCACCCCGACGGTATCGCTGACCGGTCGCTGGGTCGACCTGTCTCAGTCGCGGCAGATGGCCGTGCTTCGGATTCGGCACGAGAAAACGACCTTCGGCTCACGGTAGATGGGACAGCTAGATCGAATATCCCCTTGGCCAAAAGAAGCACTCACCTATAGGGTCCCTGGAGTCTGTAGAGACCAAAACAGCCTTGCTTGGATGTCCCCAAACTGTAGCGCTCTTTTTGGCGAGGCACACTTTGCATCAATGGAGATGCACATCTCAGCATCGTCCAGCGCTGCAATCTCCAAGCCGCGACCTTCAGCGCAGGGAGGAAGCACCAGAGACGTATTCGTGAATCGTGTCACTGACCCGGCCAACCGGCACCAAAGGCATCACAAGGGGTGCAAAGGGTATATAACCCTACCAGTCCAAGGACCAAACCACGTCAAACCCATTCCTTGAGGACCCGGTCAAGTGAGGCCCGTAAGAGCTGGCAACCGTCGACAATCTCGGTTGAATTCTGAGAAGCCCAAATTCTCAACCTCACATCAGGACTCCGCTCTGGAATCGCCGTGGTCGCCGTAACAGAACTGCTAGACTTTCCTTCAGCCTTTCGTGGCATGTCGTTGCATGTCGACAGTTCAAGCAGCACACTGTGCAGACCTCTCTCTCCTCCTGACCAAATGCATTTTTTGCAAAGGCGTGCCTTTCCAAGAAGGGAGACGGCAAAAGGCGACAAAAGGGACACAATTGAAGGACTACGATCCAAGTGTCTTGGGCCATTGAAGAGTCCGGTGAATAAGGGCCCTGAGTTTCAAGTCTTTCTTCCGTGAAGTGATGTTCAGTCTCAACGTGTTTGTTTCTCAACCTGAAACTCCTGTAGCTACTTGGAGGTGCATAATCCCTCTTCGCCGCCCCTGATCTCTAGGGATTTGAGGAAAGGGCCCTAGCAACGGCTCAGCATGCTTCATGTGGATCAACTCCTTGTTTTCTGGTGGGTCGTGATTTGACCCAACACATGCTTTGAACACGGCCTGGGCCCTGAAAACGTCCCAAAAGAGATGGAATTCCGTGACTCAAGGTTTTGGGGGCGATTCTAGGGGAGTGCTCCACAGAAGGAGCCCTGACGATCGATTTTACTTCCAATAACAACCCTGCCTTGTGGGTGGTGCTGGTCTTCCAGTATTTCTGGATCTTTCTGGGCTATCCCAGCGTTGGCTCACACACAATCCGTCCGTCCCCTCGTCCAGGAGGGACTACCATCATCATCCCAGGCGAATTCACACTGATCAAACACCTGTGGGTGCCCGTGTTGAAAGACAACTCCATGGCTCTCAGTTGAAGCCCAGGTGCTGTTGAAATTCCGGGCACGGACGAGGTAAGCTTCTGCATTGGGCGGGTTTAGCCTCGACCATGGCATCAGCGATTCTCTCTTTTCAGACTCTGGGAGTGCTCGAAACCAACAACACTCACCAGCAGCTATACCATATGGCTGCTTGGTCAACAGAACTGCATCGTTCTATTACTGTCCAGCACCTTCCTGGTTGGGTCTTGAATAGACTACACGACTTGTGGATCTCCATTGAGCACCGCACCCGAATGAAGGTCCAGGGTAAGGTATGTTCTTTCCCATTTTCTACCAGGCTTAGTAGCGATGCAAAGTCCAAATACCCTGCCCCGAAAGTCAGAAACCCTGCTTCTGGTAGCGATACTTGGATGAACAAGAACACAAAACAACACTGGGCGTTCCTTAGTCAAGAGCCAAAAGGAACATACATAAAAGCTTCATAAACATTCTATTGAAGGTGTGTTGTATGAAGGCTCCAATGATGCGATACTTGATATTGCTAGGCTAGGCAACTCGTCATGCTCACTCAAAGGTATGGTACTATATCTTCTTCGGAAGTGTCTTGCGGCAACTTATTCCTACAAGTACGAAAAGGAATCAAACATCTACAGAACCTATATGAATGTTTGTTCTAGATCACCTGAAGCCCTTTTGACATCTTGGCACGATTCTCCTCCGAATGTAGGCATCAAATGTTTCAACGACAGTGAGTGAATGGTATGCTTCTGTGCGCTTCTGTTGGTGGGGTGTCCTGAACCAACAAAGCACGGAGTCTTTGTGGTTGCATCTGGTGCTGGGCGTGGATGATCTCCAAAGTCCCAGGATTCAGGATTCCAGTGTTGGATCTCAAAACAGGAAACCAACTGTCCCCTTCAGAGCTTCTGAGAAACACACAGGGGTGATTTAAACATATTTAAACCATCAACGAACACATAGTCCATTGGCAACAGATTTCTAAGGAACAATCAATATCCAGGAGTCACAAAGGGTGAGTGGATGTTCTAGGCACCCCTCATGTCCATGAACAGCACCCCTTTCTGTTTGTTGTATTATATATAACTTTATATAACATTGACATTCCAATGGAGTCCAAGCCACAGGTGCAGCGTTTGAGGTGTCATCTTGTCTTTTTTCTTGACTGATCAGGAGGTGCGGTCTTTTTTCTTGACCGAGGCAAAAAGCATGGAACATACCATGAAATCCACTGACTAATCCACTGTTTTCTGCAGTTTTTCCAACCATTTTTTCTTAGTTCCGGCCACAAGTCACTATATATGGTACGGTATGTCTTTCCATGTCTTTCCCACAAACCGACACGTTCAGCCATTTCTGCCGCGAGGCAAGACCGCCTCTCCCAGAAGTTCCAACGACTTCTCCGCCTTTTCGGCGACGGTTCGGCGGAGAAGGTTGGTTCGGTTCGGCTCCGTACACGAGAACCATGCCCAGGCCTTGGTCGACTTCGGTGGGAAAAATGAGAAAGCAGTAACTGTTGAGGCTGATGAGGATGAGGTCCTAACCTGAAGCCCCAACACCATGTCGCTAGGTCAACCAAGGTTTCCTGGTATTGACCCACAAATCGACATATCACATATACCATATATACTACCCTGAGAGTCCATTCATGACTCATTTTACCCCGAATGGCCAGGTGGGGTAATCCCGTCCCCCTAATAATAAACACGGCCCCCCCCCCCCCTATTAAAAAAACCTCGGTCGCATTTTTTTTAATAGGGGGTCCCTGAAATCGGGGGGTCCAAAATAGGGTCACCTGGGAAGAGCTTCAAAACCAAAAAGTAAATCCGTAAAGTTTTATATAAAATCCTTTATTAAACTCGTATCAAAAATGCAAAAAAGCTCCAGATCGAAGGGTCTTCCTTTTCCCCTACAAAAACCTTCATTAGAATAGTTATTCTTCGGTAGACTAACAGCTAAAGCTTTCGAAAGGTGATGTCGCTGTGCCATGCGGTGTTGCATGACCTCGGTGGCAAGTGCGTTTGCGTGAGTCCGTGCCATTGGGGGAAGGAAAGCCTGCTGGTGTAAGCGCGGCGTGTCATGGTGGATAGACAGGGCGGACAGAGGTGGGCAGTTACGGTTGTTTTTGGGGAACCTAATAAAAAAACTACCCCCAAATTCGACCATGTTGGTAGTTTAGTAGCGGTTTGAAAGGGCGGCAATTTAAAACCAAATATAAACCGAATTTAGGGGTTCGGACGTGGGGTTTTTTTAATTGGGGAGTGTTTATTAATAGGTACTCGGGATTAGTTCATGAGTCATTGGAAGTTCTGGGATACCAGCAGTTCCAAACGGATTGGCTTTGGAGTCCCACAGCACAGAGCGGATGTTCTGGGCACGGTCTAGGGCCCCTCTCAGTGCACCGTGTGTGAGGTTACCGAACCACAAGTAGGGTAGACCCGACCGGTGATGAACCATTTCGCCAGCCAAATGATCCCCCAACCCCCGTGGAACATGAGCAAGCTTTAGTTACATTGTTGCCATGATTTTGGGATGACCCAATAAGAATCTTCATCTTCCCCATGCCTCATCCCAAATACCTGGCAAATGCCATTGCGATCCGTCACCATGGTGACCCACGCGTTCCTTCCTCTAATTACGGAATGAATAATGACATGACTACTACCCCAAAATCCAAGAATTCATGCAAAACCCCTCAACACATCCGCCTTGAAACTTACAAACCGCACCCATCGATCAACCATGATCAACGGTTTTTCTATTTTAACCGGGGGGGGTTGCAAGAACCGCCCTCAAACTACAAAAGGGGACGCACGCTCGCCACGCGTGCCTGCCGCGCGCGACCGTTTTCGCTCGACCGAAGACGCGGTCGCGGGCTGGGCCTCTTCTCCTTGTGCCTCAATCATGAGGCGTGCGGCCTGGGCCTTGGCCTCAGGGCTTGGTGGGTTTCCTGGCGCTGCAGGGCTCGGAAAGCTCCGGTGGCCGGAGGGTGGGATGGGGTGTGGTTCAGGGGGATTTCCAAGGAGCAAGCAATGGCCTGTCAGGTTGCAGGATGCGAATTATTCTTCAGGTTACAAGTAGTTCCCAAGAAGTGAGTCAGGAGCGTTGCAGCGATTACTCCTGATAAAAAATGGATCCCTGAGCTCTGCCTCTTTTGACGTCCGGTTTCAGCCTTTTTGGCGGGGAGCTCCCTCACAATCTTCGGGAATTAGGTCACCTCTAAACGAAGCCTGCTCTCCACACCAAGTTCCAGCCTGGATACAAGGGCACCATAAGCCTCGATTTGAGGCCGCTCAAAGGCTCCACCCGTGAAGCACGTGGTGCATGCACCCATAAAAACTAAGAGCTGCCTGGCCGTTGATACCAACAAGTTCTTCTTCCGGTGAACATCTCCTTGCCCTGTAGCAAAATACCAGAATTGCTTGGAACCTTGATGAACTGACTGGTGCTTAGTAGGGAATAAGGGAATGAGCCCCCAATAGAGATCCTATTGGATCCATTCCCTCATTCCCTGCGAGTCGCACCAGTCAGTGAATGTTCATTGCGGTTCTTACATGTTCGATCCAAACCCGGAGACTTTCTCATCACACCAAACAAACGGACAGAACTTGCTTAAACATATGCACACATTGCAAACACAAGAAACAACCACCGGTGGTTTTGGGGTTCCATGTTAATCTGCAGGGGAGTATAGGTGCAGTCCCTCTCTTCCGATCGCAAGATGACCTGATGACCCTCTCTATCGGTGAGGACGCTCATGGACGCGCGTCGACACGGCCCTTCTCCGATGAGAACATGACCCCGGACCTGACCCCGGCTCTCGCTGGCGGAGTTATCGGTCGTTGAGTCAGTTGAGTCGTTTTTGAGGAACGCCAGAAAAACCGCTTTACCCAACAGCCACTGGCCCAAACACATCCACGCTACTTCTTGTGCTCTTCCGCATTTCTTGGCAGCCAAGGCGCAAGTGTCCATAATCTGGGTACCGCCACAATCCTCCGAATCAATCGAAAAGGGTTTCGGGTTGGGAGATCGTTTGTGCAAAGGGCGCTTCACTGAACCACAAGTTCCGACCCATTGTTGATTCTCACCAATGTAAAGGACTACTCTGTTGGGAAGAGTTTGATCTTTATCTATTTCAGCTGGAGTCAACGGTCGAAACCGAAGACATCCAGGTTGCTGTGTGGACGTCGCCAGGACGGTCACCGTGAAAACACGTGAATTGGGGGAATCTCTGGGCGACAGGAGACATCTCCTGGCTGTAAAACATTGTACAACCCCTGAATGGGCCATAAAACTGAATG